ACACGGACGGGACATTGCAACCGTCCTAAATAAAGTGTCTTGCTTAACAACAGGAATTTGGGCCTCAGTTGTGGACATAAGTCAGATGCGACTTCAAAGGCCTCTCACTCAATTCTAATAATAATAATAGTAATAGAATTGGAAGGGACCTTGGAGGTCATCTAGTCCAACCCCCTGCTCAGGCAGGAAGCCCTATACCGTTTCGGACCAACGGCTGTCCAGTCTCTTCTTAAAAACTTCCAGTGTTGGAGCATTCACCGCTTCTGGAGGCAGGTTGTTCCGCTGGTTAATTGTTCTAACTGTCAGGAAGTTTCTCTTCAGTTCTAGGTTGCTTCTCTCCTTGGTTAGTTTCCATTGCTTTTTGTCTTGCTTGTTATAATTTCATATTGCATACTCAAACATTTTCTCCTGTTTTTCTGCCTTGGAACTCAAGACTCCTCTAAGATTCCCAGATGGTCCACAGATCTCCTTGGCCTCAGGCACAAAACAGGCAGGCCTCAACATATAACCGTTCCATTTAACGATGCTTCGAAGTTAGGACATCACTGACAAACGTGATTTATTTGCAATAGGGGTGAATATCTGTAACTTGGGCATAGGTTGAGGGTGAAGGTTCGTTCTCTGAGCTTGCGGGTGGGTTTCCAAACGTTTCATTACCTGGCTGGGTAATATCTTCAGCAGAGTTTAGGGGATGTTAGAGTTGTTGTTCTTCTGTGGATAATGGCTTTGTGTGGTCAGTCGGTCTTGTGATGGGGAAGTCATGTCAGAGAGAGAGAGAGAGAGAGAGAGAGAGAGATGAAAGAGATAGATGGATGGATGGATGGATGGATGGATGGATGGATAGATAGATAGATAGATAGATAGATAGATAGATAGATAGATAGATAGATAGATAGATAGATAGATAGATAGATAGATAGATAGATAATGGAAAAGGTAGATGATAGACAGATAGAGATAGAGAGATGATAGATGATAATGGCAGACAGACAGACAGACATAGATAGATGATAGAGATGATGGATAGATAGATAGATAGATAGATAGATAGATAGATAGATAGATAGATAGATAGATAGATAGATAGATAGATAGATAGATAGATAGATAGATAGATAGGAAAAGGTAGATGATATAGATGATAGACAGATAGAGATAGATAATGATAGATAATGATAGATAGGTAGACAGACAGACAGATAGATAGGTAGACAGATAGATGAGTCACCAAATAGCTACAGTGATTTACTTAACAACCGTGGCAGAAAAGGTCGTAAAACGGGACAAAACTCACTTAAACAGCCACCTTGCTTAGCAAACCAACAGGTTGGGCTCAGTGGCAGTCATAAGGCGAGGACAAACCCCGCATTGTCTAAATTCCTTCCAAAGTTGGCCGGGGTCACAGAAAACCCGTCTCGATGGGCATTTGAACCGGCCTAACTTGACCCGCCTTGTAGATCAAGGGGGACTCGAGAACATTGTCCCGAGGACCTTCCAAGTCTCTTCTGAGCTGACAACAGCAACTGCTTGGGGACCTTTCGGGAGGGGAAGTCCGAGGAAAGCATTTGTGTTAACTTCTAAACTGAGCACGAGAGGTTCCAAAAACAAAATTCTTCTCAGCTGGGAAACCTGAGCACCTCGGCCGTGCTCCTTCCCCGGTGGTCAGCCTCTCCACCACCCACATCGCTTGCTCACCCCGTTTCGGCCGTTCAGAAGAATTTGTGCAGCCCTGAGGCACCAGAAATAGATCTGAAGTCTCTCTCGGCCAAAGGGACTATGATTGGCAGGCTGTCCCTAAGCCTTCAATATCAGGGTTAACCTCTGCCCTTTGGGGCTTAAGACCAACAGCACCGAGATCTACACAGTGCTGGGCTGCATTAACAGAGGGACAGAATCAAGATCACATGAAGTGTTAATACCACTTTACAAGGCCTTGGTAAGGCCACACTTGGAATACTGCATCCAGTTTTGGTCACCACGATGTACAAAAGATGTTGAGACTCTAGAAAAAGTGCAGAGAAGAGCAACAAAGATGATCAGGGGACTGGAGGCTAAAACATATAAGGACCAGCTGCTGGAATTGGGTATGTCTAGTTTAATAAAGAGAAGGATGAGGGGGACATGATAGCAGTCTTCCAGTATCTCAGGGGCTGCCCCAAAGAAGAGGGAGTCAAGCTATTCTCCAAAGCGCCTGAAGGCAGGACAAGAAGCAACGGATGGAAACTCATCAAGGAGAGAAGCAACCTAGAACTAAGGAGAAACTTCCTGACAGTGAGAACAATTAACCAGTGGAACAACCTGCCTCCAGAAGCGGTGAATGCTCCAACACTGGAAGTTTTTAAGAAGAGACTGGACAGCCATTTGTCCGAAATGGTGTAGGGTTTCCTGCCTGAGCAGGGGGTTGGACTAGATGACTTCCAAGGTCCCTTCCAACTTTATCATTATTACTATTACTATTCTCCAAAGCGTCTGAAGGCAGGACAAGAAGGAACAGATGGAAACTCATCAAGGAGAGAAGCAACCTAGAACTAAGGAGAAACTTCCTGACAGTTAGAACAATTAACCAGTGGAACAACCTGCCTCCAGAAGCTGTGAATGCTCCAACACTGGAAGTTTTTAAGAAGAGACTGGACAGCCATTTGTCCGAAATGGTGTAGGGTTTCCTGCCTGAGCAGGGGGTTGGACTCGATGACCTCCAAGGTCCGTTCCAACTTTATTATTATTATTATTAAAGATAGTCCTTAAGTTACAACATTTTGTTTAGTGACGGTTCAAAGTTAACAAGGACACTGAAAAAGGTGACTTAAGACGGTTGTTCACCGTTTACGGCCCTTGAAGCATCCCCCCCACCCCTATGATCACATGATCAAAATTCAGAAGCTTGGCTACTGGTTCACTCTTAAAGAACTGAATCTTCTTTCTCTTTAAACTCTAAACTTTAAACTCTTTAAACTTTAAACTTCTCTTTAAAGTCAATCTATCCATTTCTGCACATTCTAAGATTTTCTTAATTAAAACCTCTTCAGCTGGTAAGTTTTCATTTTTCCAGTATTGGGCAAATGCTATTCTCACTGCTGTCAGTACATGCAATGTTAAATATTCATTCTCCTTCTCCTAATCAGGTCCTAATATTCCTAACAAAAACAGTTCTGGTTTAAATTCTATCTGTCTTTTAACCATCTTTTCCAACCATGTATGTATCTTAACCCAAAACATTTTTTGCTTTAGGGCATGTCCACCAGATATGATCGTTAAGTACCTGGTCTTTGATTACATTCCCAGCAATTATTCGAAGTATTTTTAAACATTTTCGCTAATCTTACTGGTGTCATATGCCATCTATAAAACATTTTTATACAAATTTTCTTTATATGAGACTACTTTAGCCATGACTGGAGTCTTAAGCAAGAGAGTAAGGTAATCTGAAATATTTTCCCCTTTTTCCTGGCAGGACCTGAAGAAATACGGCGCAACCACCGTTGTGAGGGTGTGTGAAGTGACCTACGACAAGACGCCCCTGGAAAAGGATGGCATTAAAGTGATGGTAAGTCTCCGTGTTTCGTTTTTTTTTCCCCTTAATCTTGGCTGAAGCAACCCAGAAGATCAAGCATCACGAATGGAGCCAGTGAATTCTTCTAAGGGAATTAAAATGTCCTGCCTGAGCTTGGGATAGCTCACGTGGGTTCAGCAAGGTTGTATGTTCTGCAAAATTGAGATTGAAATTCAATGGGTTTATGTGACCCCAGACTCCGATCTCACATAAAACATCATCAGAGTTGGAAGGAACCTTGGAGGCCTTCTAGTCTAACCGTCTGCTCAAGCAGGAGACCCTATACCAGGGGTAGGCAACCTTGGCTCTTTTATGACTCGTGGACTTCAACTCCCAGAATTCCTGAGCCAGCCTGGCTCAGCTTGGAAACCTCTCCCTTTCCCCTCAGCATGGCTGGCTCAGGAATTCTGGGAGTTAAAGTTCATGAGTCATAAAAGAGCCAAGGTTGCCTACCCCCTGGACTAGACCATTTCAGACCAATGGCTGTCCAGTCTCTTCTTAAAAACCTCCGGTGATGAAGCACCCACAACTTCTGAAGGCAAGCTGTTCCACTAATTAATTGTCCTCACTGTTAGGAAGTTTTCTCCTTAGTTCCAGGTTGCTTCTCTCCTTGATTAGTTTCCATCCATTGTTTCTTGTCTTGCCTTCTGGTGCTTTGGAGAATAGGTTGACCCCCTCTCCTAAGGGGCAGCCCCTTAGATATTGGAACGCTACTATCATGTCTCCCCTGGTCCTTCTTTTCATTAAATTAGACATTACATCCACAACTTCTGGAGGCAAGTCGTTCCACCGATTAATTGTTCTGTCAGGAAATTCCTCCTTAGTTCTAGGTTGCTTCTCTCCTTGGTTAGTTTCATCCGTTGCTTCTTGTCCTGCCTTCAGGCTCTTTGGAGAATAGCTTGACTCCCTCTTCTTTGGGGCATCCCCTGAGATACTGGAAGGCTGCTATCATGTCCCCCCTCGTCCTTCTCTTCATTAAACTAGACATACCCAATTCCTGCAACCGTTCTTGATATGTTTTAGCCTCCAGTCCCCTAATCATCTTCGTTGCTCTTCTCTGCACTCTTTCCAGACTGCAGATAGTCCTTGACTTACAACAGTTCATTTAGTGATACAACAGCACTGAAAAAAAGGAACTTATGAGCAGGGTTTTTTTTTTTACAGTTAACAACCTCTGCAGCGTCCCCATGATCACGGGATCAAAATTCCAGAAAACGAGAAAACTCTTCACCTCTCAATATGTTCCTCTCTTGAGTCATCCAAGCTCGTCTCCATGCTATTGAGTCATGAGCAAGGCGGAAATTTTCCAGGGCATCCTCACTCTCCCCCGACCAGCAGACTGTTTCCCTCTGGAAACAGATGTAAAAGGGAAATCCTCGGGAAGCTGGCTGATTTAACGTAGGACATCCGTTGGGAAGCATAAACCAGTTTAAAGAGCTGTGGGGGAGGTTGTTCATTGTAAAAACCAGCTGCTTATGCGATGATCTCACTTAGAATGGATGCTAATTTTTTAAAAAAGATGGCCTTATGCTAAAGCAGAGGTGGGGAACTTGGGCCCTTTACGACTTGTGGACTTCAACTCCCAGAATTCCTGAGCCAGGATGGGAACTTGACCCCTTTATGACTTATTTTCTTGCAGATGTTTCATGACCCAACTAGGTAACCTCATCAGTTCTTGAAGGGAGTTGGGTTTATGGAAAGGAGGAGGAGGAGGAGGACTGTAGGGTTCTTGGTGCCCTCTGAGCTTGGTGGTTTTCTTGCAGATGTTTCATGACCCAACTAGGTAACATCATCAGTGCTAGAAGGGAGTGGGGTTTCCATAGAGGAGAGGAAGGGAGGAGAAGGAGGAGGAAAAGGACTATGGGGTCCTTGATACTCTCTGAACTTGGTGGTTTTCTTGCAGATGTTTCATTACCAAACTATAACAATAATAAAGTTGGAAGGGACCTTGGAGGTCATCTAGTCCAACCCCCTGCTCAGGCAGGAAACCCTATATCATTTCAGACAAATGCCTGTTCAGTCTCTTCTTAAAAACTTCCACATTGGAGCAGTCACAACTTCTGGAGGCAGCTTGTTCCACTGGTTAATTGTTCTCACTGTCAGGAAGTTTCTCCTTAGTTCTAGGTTGCTTCTCTCCTTGATCAGTTTCCATCCATTGCTTCTTGTCCTGCCTTCAGGCACTTTGGAGAATAGCTTGACTCCCTCTTCTTTGTGATTTGGAACCCCCCAAGAACACTCCCATCAAAACTGATAGGACAAACCACTAGTATATACAAGTAAGAGCAACCCCCCCCCCTCCTAGCACTGATGACGTTACCTAGTTAGGTTATGAAATGTGTGCAAGAAAACTACCAAACCTAGAGAGCATCAAGGACTCCACAGTTCTTCTTCTTCTTCTTCTTCTTCTTCTTCTCCTCCTCCTCCTCCTCCCCCTCCTCCTCCTCCTCCTCCTCCTCTCCACAAACCCAACTCACTTCTAGCACTGATGACGTTTGCTAGTTAGGTTATGAAATGTCTACAAGAAAACCACCAAACCTAGAGAGCATCAAGGACTCCACAGTTCTCCTCCTCCTCCTCCTCCTCCTCCTCCTCTCCACAAACCCCACTCCCTTCTAGCACTGATGACGTTACCTAGTTAGGTAATGAAATGTCTGCAAGAAAACTGCCAAGCTCAGAGAGCACCAAAAACTACTCATTCAATCCTGAGCTACAGATGTTTTCTTCTATTGACAGAAAAGAGTAATAATGCTTTTGTCCCCAAAGGCACAAATTAAGTAAGATGCACGGCACCCATTTCTGACCATCTCAAGAAGGCAGCCTTTAAAAAGGTCTGCCAAAGGTTATTTTGCAACCGGAGAAGGAAATTCTCCACTTCCAAAAATGTCCCAGGTTGCATAATCTCAAGTTTTCTTTCCCTTGGGCAGCAGCTGAAAATCTTGGCAGGGGAAAAAAATAAAATAATGGTATTATTTCTGGTCGCGTAGAAACGTAGCTGCCTGCAGTGAGATTGGCTGTGACGATTACGATAGGATATTAGGATATTAGTTCCTCCATCAGTTGTCACTGGGAAATAACCAAAGTCTCCGTCCCAACAATTAAAATCCTGCCTGGGAACTTCTGTATTTCTTACGCAAACTTGAGCCATTCCTGTTTTTATTTTTTTATTTTTTTCCAACTCAGTGCTGTGGTTGGAAGGAAAGTTATGTAAACGGACTTGAAATTCTGCCTTTCTGTCCTCGGGATAACTCTTCAAAAACCTAAGAGAAAGGGATTGAATTGGGTGCAAACCATGACATTGCAAAAATAAAGGAGAATATTTGTGTCAGAATCCAATTATATTTCATCAACTATGGAAAACCCCATTTCTGCCCTCTCTGGATTCTGTCATACGATGAAGGGGAAGGGGAGAAGGGGTGAACAAAGGGGTTTTATGGCCCTCACTTCCTTCGGTACAACTTCAAAGGGACTGAATGTGGATACCACCAAAAGGACTAATCATAACAATGGGGCCATCAGCTTTCATCTACTCCTCTCTGAAGTCTCCCACCGGCAGTGAGGAAAAAGAGGGTGGAAATGTAACGCCTGGGATTGTCGCTGGAAGGACGGTGGGGCTGCTGGGGACCCCTTAAAACCTTGAATTGTAGGACTTGGGCCCCAGGTCCTGTCTAGAACACCTGCAACCATTTTCTTTTAATAAAGATGCCTGTTGGAAGGAATATTCCAAGAGTTCTGTCTTCTTAAGATGCAAAGTGGGGTGGGTCCTTATAATTTGTAGCTCAGGGTTGAAATGGGGGGTGGGTGGGGGGCAGCTTGGTGCTCTCCAAGCTTGCTTGTTTTCTTTTAGACGTTTCATGACCCAACCAGGGAACGTCCTCAGTGATAGAATAGAGTAGAGTAGAATAGAACAGAACAGAACAGAACAGAACACAGTAGTGTCCAAAATTGTGGAAACTTTTTGGGAAAATTGTACAGTAGAAATGCCACCTTTGGTTAAGTTTCCACCCATTTTTTCTTCTAATTCCTTTATAGCTGTAGCCTTGTTCACTTAATAAATACTATTTTACATCGCTTTCTGGGCAACCAGTCAACTCTTTGCACCATGACTTTAATTTTATTACGTTTTACAAGCTCACTAAATGAAAGAACACAAAAAAACCCTAGCCAACTGGATAGCGATCACATAACACACTGACTGACAAATGTCCTCCTCTCGGCTTCAGTACATGACATCGACAACTGGATCCTACTGTGATCTGATTGGCTCATGGCCAAAACAAAATGGCACCCGATTGGCTCTCTAAACAGTCACGCTCATTGGCTACAATCAGAGGAAGAAAAGCTACCTGAGATCAACCTAAGCAAGTGGTGCTTCCTTTTTCCGGTTATTTGCCTATAACATTTCATAGAATACAGTACGGATAATCGAACAAACTTACGTTGCATTACATTCTTGATTAAATTAAGTGAACTGCTCTAATGGTGTAAGGATCTGTACGGGACATCCATCTGGGCATTACCGTTTCCATGAGAGACAGCCAGTTCTTAGGGATGGGGGTCCACCTCCGTCAGAAGATCTCCATCCGGCCCCCCAGTTTTGGCTTCAGCGGGTTGTGTTGTGTGGTTTGTAAGGGAAAGGAGGACTTGGGCACCCTCTCCGTGGTTGCTTCCTGCCTGCAGCCGAGTGCCAACTTAAGCGCAGGTGCAGGATGCAGTCAAAGAACGCCTCGGATGCAGGTGTTTTAATCTTACCTTCTGGGCTTTTCCGTTTAAAACCAAAAAAAACCCAAAGCCCGTTCTAAAAATAAATGCACATTTTTGTTGGAAAAAGCAGAAGCCGCTTCGTGTATCCTGCTTTGTTTTCTCGTCCCAGCTGTTGATCTGGAACGGCACCAATTCTTCATTCGTAGCACAACTTTCTGAAATCCCCGCCTAGGACTCTCTTCCGGGATCCAGAGATATCCTTTCCTGGCTTGTGTGAATGTGGGATTTCAAGGGCTTCGCTTTTGTCTCTTAAGGCCACCAGGGTTCGATGTCATATCACAGCAATGTCCCACCTGAATCAAGATCAGGAAGAAAGCTGCTGGTGGTCCCATAGGTCTCCTACACCCTCTCCCCACCTTAATATAATAATAATAAAGTTGGAAGGGACCTTGGAGGTCATCCAGTCCAACCCCCTGCTCAGGCAGGAAACCCTATACCATTTCGGACAAATGGCTGTCCAGACTCTTCTTAAAAACTTCCAGTGTTGGAGCATTCGCCGCTTCTGGAGGCAGGTTGTTCCACTGGCTAATTGTTCTAACTGTCAGGAAGTTTCTCCTTAGTTCTAATAATAATAATAAAGTTGGAAGGGACCTTGGAGGTCATCGAGTCCAACCCCCTGCTCAGGCAGGAAACCCTACACCATTTCGGACAAAGGACTGTCCAGTCTCTTCTTAAAAACTTCCAGTGTTGGAGCATTCACCGCTTCTGGAGGCAGGTTGTTCCACTGGTTAATTGTTCTCACTGTCAGGAAGTTTCTCCTTAGTTCTAGGTTGCTTCTCTCCTTGGTTAGTTTCCATCCATTGCTTCTTGTCCTGCCTTCAGGCGCTTTGGAGTATAGCTTGACTCCCTCTTCTTTGGGGCAGCCCCTGAGATATTGGAACACTGCTATCATGTCCTCCCTCGTCCTTCTCTTTGTTAAACTAGACATACCCAATTCCAGCAGCCGTTCCTTATATGCTTTAGCCTCCAGTCCCCTAATCATCCTTGTTGCTCTTCTCTGTACTCTTTCTAGAGTCTCAACATCTTTTTTACATCGTGGTGACCAAAACTGGAAGCAGTATTCCAAGTGTGGCCTTACCAAGGCATTGTAAAGTGGTATTAATACTTCACGTGATCTTGATTCTATCCCTCTGTTAATGCAGCCTAGCACTGTGTTGGCCTTTTTGGCAGCTGCAGCACACGGCTGGCTCCTATTTAAGTGATTGTCCACTAGGACTCCGAGATCCCTCTCACAGTTCTTAAATGTCTGGTCAATGCCTGTATAACACAAGCTTTAACTTTACCAAGGCCTTGTAAAGTGGTATTAATACTTCACATGATCTTGATTCTATCCCTCTGTGAATGCAGCCCAGCACTTATTTTCTACGGAGATTCCCAGTCATCCAAGTCATGGTTGACCCAAAGGTGCTTTTTCAGGAGGCAACTGGACTTCCTTGTTTTTCCTTTGAAGATGTTTCGCTTCTCCTCCGAGAAGCTTCTTCAGCTCTGACGAGATGGTGGGGAAGGGAAGGATTTATACTCCTTGCAGACAGCTGGTCGTTTGCCTCCTTTTAGAGAGTCGTTGAGGCCACTTGCAGGGTACAACATAGAACAAACCCATCAGGACAAGATTCAGCAGTCCACCTACATTTAAAAAACAAAGGCCATTCTTTATATTTATAAAGGATTTATATTCCTTGCAGACTGCTGGTCATTGGCATTCTTTTAGAGAGTCGTTGAGGCCACTTGCAGGGTACAGCATAGGAGAACTAACCTACGTCTGCAAGTAAACAAGCGGGCTCAGAGAGCACCAAGGACCCCACAGTTGTCCTCCTCCTCCTCTCCACATGCATCACTCCCTTCTTTCACTGATGATGTTACCTAGTTGGGTCATGGAACATCTAAACAAGCTCAGGAGCACCAAGGACCCCACACTCCTCCTCCTACTTCACAGACCCTACTTCCTTCTAGCACTGATGACGTTACCTAGTTGGGTCATGAAACGTCTTTTAAGTAAACAAGCAAGCTCAGAGAGCCACAAGGACCTCTCATCTCTGGTCTTCTTCTCCAGGACTGGCCCTTTGATGATGGAGCTCCACCACCCAACAAAATTGTAGACGACTGGCTCAACCTACTGAAGACCAAATTCTGCGAAGATCCCGGCTGCTGCGTCGCTGTCCATTGTGTGGCTGGCCTGGGACGGTGAGTGCCCTCCTGGCAGGGTCTGACTCAGTAACAAGCACTGTGTTGTTATCGTTGATGTTTTTCCTTTGCACAAAACTCTGCAATTATCCGTGGCTAAGAGTTTGACTATCTTCACTATTTTAGATATACGTGGTAGAGAAGAACTTGTAGGTTGGCACTCAGTTTAGATCCAGATCCTTGTAAGACGGATGGACTTCAGTTCCCAGAATTCCCTAGATAGTCCAGCCATCTTAAAGTAGAAAACACAAGTCCATATGTTCAGTTTTGTGTAACTTGGTTTTTTTTTTCCCCTTCAGCCTTGGCGTCCTGATTTATTATTCTTCAGCCATTTTGTCGTTGTTGTTTTTTTTAAATTGGAATAGAGAAATAATATCGCTTTGTGGGCCTGATCTCACTTCTGTCTTTTCCTGTCCAGGGCTCCCGTTCTGGTCGCACTCGCCCTGATTGAGAGCGGAATGAAATACGAAGACGCCATCCAGTTCATTAGACAGTAAGTGCCTCTTCTGGAAACCTCTGTGCCACCTGCCTCTGGTGGAGATGGACCACCACCGGTCAGTGGGCAACTACTTGGCACATCTTTAAGAATACAGGAACCCAAGATGTTCTTGTTTTTCTTTGAAGACGTTTCGCTTCTCATCCAAGAAGCTTCTTCAGCTCTGACGGGATGGTGGGGAATGGAAGGATTTATACTCCTTGCAAACAGCTGGTCATTTGCATTCTTTTAGAGAGTTGTTGAGGCCACTTGCCGGGTACAACATAGAACAAACCCATCAGGACAAGATTCAGCAGTCCACCTACATTTAAAAAACAAAGGCCACTCTTTATAAAGGATTTATACTCCTTGCAGACAGCTGGTCATTTGCAGTCTTAGAGAGACGTTGAGGCCACTTGCAGGGTACAGCATAGGAGAACAAACCCATCAGGACAAGATTCAGCAGTCCACCTACATTAAAAAAAAAACACTCTTTATAAAGGATTTATGTTCCTTGCAGACAGCTGATCATTTGCACTCTTTCAGAGAGTTGTTGAGGCCACTTGCAGGGTACAACATAGGAGAACAAACCCATCAGGACAAGGTTCAGCAGTCCATCTACATTTAAAAAAACACTCTTTATATTTATAAAGGATTTATATTCCTTGCAGACAGATAGTCATTTGCACTCTTTTAGAGAGTTGTTGAGGCCACTTGCAGGAGAACAAACCCATCAGGACAAGATTCAGCAGTCCATCTACATTTAAAAAAACACTCTTTATATTTATAAAGGATTTATATTCCTTGCAGACAGATAGTCATTTGCACTCTTTTAGAGAGTTGTTGAGGCCACTTGCAGGAGAACAAACCCATCAGGACAAGATTCAGCAGTCCACCTACATTTAAAAACTAAAGGCCACTCTTTATATTTATAAAGGATTTATATTCTTTGCAGACAGCTGGTCATTTGCATTCTTTTAGAGAGTTGTTGAGGCCATCTGGAGGTTTATGTCTTCAGGGTCACCTGAGTAGTGAATATGGGTGTGGAGCCTTGCCTGCAGGACGTTTTCTGCCCTGGGTCTCTTCACTGTTGAAGTGACCCTGAGGACACAGATAAGCCTCCAAGTGGCCTCAACGACTCTCTAAAAGGATGCAAATGACCAGCTGTCGGCAAGGAATATAAATCCTTCCCTTCCCCACCATACAGTCAGAGCTGAAGAAGCTTCCTGGATGAGAAGCGAAAAGTCTTCCAAGAACAAAAAAGAAAGTCCAGTTGCTTCCTGAAAAAGCACCTTTGGGACAATCACAACTTGGATGACCGAGAACCTCCACAGACAGTTGGCAGGAATCTTTCCCACTGGGTGGTACCACTTCAGAGTATAGACGGGGGAGGTGCTTCAAATCCCTCCTTCCCCAACTCTGAACAAAATTGCAATAAATGCATTATCTTAAGCCCTGGAAACGGCTTATAATCTTAATTCTCCAAGCAGGGTTGCTTCTAAGCTGGAAGCAGGAGACGCGTTCATTCCTGCACACGGTCCAAATTGTGTTGGAAGGGTCAAAAAATATTGGCATCACAATAAACTCTTTTGTGGATGCATACAGGACGCCAAGAACAGGTAGTCCTCAACTTAACGACCAGTTGCGTAGTCACCGTTCTAAGTTACAATGGATCCTCCCAAAAGGTACTTAACGACCTGGATTAAAAGTTCCAACTCAGAAGAAGACCTGGGGGGATCACTTTCCTACTCATGCCAAGAAATCTGCATGGAAGTGTCCATGTTGTTGCCTGGAATCAGTTTGTTCTAGTGGTTCAGGCATCAGACTAGAAACCAGGAGACAGTGAGTTATAGCCCCAGCTTAAGATGAAAGCCAGGTGGGTGATTTGGATGACGTTGGGCTTCTTGGCAAGAGGGGCAGCCAACAAGTCTAATAAATAAATCACCAGGAGACGGTGAGTTCTAGTCCCACCTTAAGCAGGAGGATCAGCTGGTGGATTGGAACTCCCCATCTCCTAGTGTGATTGGCGCAAAGTCACCCAGCCAGCTTTCATGCCTAAGGCGGGACTAGAACTCACAGTGTCCTGGTGATTGACTCAAAGTCACTCAACTGGCTTTCAAGACTAAGGCGGGACTAGAACTCATTGTCTCCTGGTGATAGGCCCAAAGTCACCCATCTGGCTTCCATGACTAAGGTGGGACTAGAACTCATTGTCTCCTAGTGATTGGCCCAAAGTCACCCAGCCAGCTTTCATGCCTAAGACGGGACTAGAACTCAAAATGTCCTGGTGATTGATCCAAGGTCATTCAACTGGCTTTCATGCATAAGGTGGGACTAGAACTCATTGTGTCCTGGTGATTGACCCAAAGTCACCTAGCCAGCTTTCATGCCTAAGGTAGGACTAGAACTCACCGTCTCCTGGTGATTGGTCCAAAGTCACCCAGCCGACTTTCATGCCTAAGGCAGGACTAGAACTCACAGTGTCCTGGTGATTGACTCAAAGTCACTCAACTGGCTTTCATGACTAAGGCGGGACTAGAACTCATTATCTCCTAGTGATTGGCCCAAAGTCACCCAGCCGGCTTTCATGCCTAAAGCGGGACTAGAATTCACCATCTCCCAGTTTCCAGCCTGTTGCCTTAACTCAGAAGTCCCCGACCTTTTGGGCACCAGGGACCGGTTCCGTGGAGAGAGGTTTTTCCACAGAGCGGAGAATGCGTGGTTTTGTGTGCTCAGTGGCGTAGCGTGGGTTGTCAGCACCCGGGGCAAGGCAAGTAATTTGCGCCCCCCCCCCCTCCACAGTGGGCGGCGGCTCGGATCGGATTCGCACAGCCAGCACTGCAGAGAGAGTGAGTGAGCCAGGCAGGGGCAGAGAGCTGCGAGTGCGAGCGCGCCCCCCCAGATGTTGCGCCCGGTGCGGCCGGCCCCCCCTGCACCCCCCACGCTACGCCACTGTGTGTGCTGTCTGCATCCCACGGATGGGGATTTGCTTGTTTGTGCGGACCGGTTGCTGGCATGCCGCGGCCCAGTACCGGTCCACGGACCGGGGGGTTGGGGACCCCTCCCTTAACCCCTAGACCAAAATGTCTCCTCCCTACATGGAAAGATGCTCCTGGCTTTCAGACATTTTGAGGAGCACACAACATCCTTCCTTCCTCTTCCTCCTCTTTGCAGGAAACGCCGAGGCGCCATCAACAGCAAGCAGCTGACCTATCTGGAGAAATACCGGCCGAAGCAGCGCCTGCGTTTCAAGGATCCCCAGAACCACAAGAATAAATGCTGCATCATGTAAACCTCCGTGGTGGTGTGTCCCCCTTGCTGGATTCCACCCGTGGGGGAAGACGAACCACGCCCCACTCAAAAAAAAACCGCACAGGGCTTGACTTCGGAAGTTTGCGGAGGACATTTTTATCACAACTCCCCCCCCCCTCCTTTTTGTTTTTTGTTTTTTGAGTTGTCCCAAGCAAGGAGAACTCGGAGTTGACCCCCTTTGTTGGTTTCAAAGGCTTGAAATGACGGCGGTTCACCCCACCCCCACCCCACCCCACCCGTCTCCTTTCTTTTCCCAGATATTCACCTTGTCAGAAACTCTTTGTAACAACGTCAACTTTCAATGCAATAACTCCGGAGCGTCCACTTTTCTGTGGAGAACTGATGGATGGGTGGATGGATTAAGGCGTAAACTAACTATAGTAGATGCCATTGGGTTGGCAGGCCTGGAGTTAAGACCGCTTCTTCTGGGCAGAGATCAATCTAGATCAGGGGCCTTCAAACGTGGGCCTTTTATGACTTGTGGACTTCAACTCCCAGAATTCCTCAGCCAGCTTTGCTCTGGGAGTTGAAGTCCACAAGTCATAAAAGGCCCACGTTTGAAGGCCCCTGATCTAGATACACCGTGGAGCTGAGTTAGTTGGGGTACGAGGGGTGTTGGTCTATGCTGTGCTTGTTTGGCGTTCATGTTTGAAAAGATAGCTGGGTCATCCTTTCTTGGCAAGGCTTGTGACGCTTGGACAGGAGGCGAGACATCACCTGGTCTGTAGAGATGGATCCACCGATTCTAATGTGTCTCAAACGCGTCACGGTCTGTCCCCTCCACCCCACCCCACCACCCTTCCAGCGAGTAGGCTGTTTCTCTTTGCACAGGTTTGTGGTGCTAGCCCATAAAGTCATAAAATTCCCCTTCGATTTGATAACTACAACTTTTGGGATGTCTGGGAGAAGAGGGCGGGTTGACGTTGAAGTTGGAGACGGGAAAGGCGGTCTCTCTTGACGAGAGAACGGAGGGAAATTTAGGAAGGTGTATGTGAAGGAGGGTTTTTTGGGGGAATTGGAAACCGGAATGGGACGCGGGAATTACTGATGGTACGGAATGGCCCTTGATTTGGAAGTATTTTGTGGGGTCCCAGTATCGTTGGCTGCAATGGGTTCGGACGTTTTGAGGAAGAAGCTGAGAAAATCCCTTTTCTGGAGCGGTTGGTTTTTGTTTTTTGTCTTGAAGTGTCTGGCTGAGAGTCATTTTTCGTAAAAGTTCAGTATTGACTATGTGGAATTAATATTTTTAAATAAAGCCTCTTCACATCCCCACTTTATGGACCTAGAGCAGGGATAGGCAACCTTGGCTCTTTTATGACTCGTGGACTTCAACTCCCAGAATTCCTGAGCCAGCCATGCTGAGGGGAAAGGGAGAGGTTTCCAAGCTGAGCCATGCTGGCTCAGGAATTCTGGGAGTTGAAGTCCACGAGTCATGAGGGGGCCATAGTTCCCCCATGCTGGCTGAGGAATTCTGGGAGTTGAAGTTCGCAAGTCATGAGGGGGCCATAGCTCCCCCATGCTGGCTGAGGAATTCTGGGAATTGAAGTCCACAAGTCATGAGGGGGCCATAGTTCCCCCATGCTGGCTGAGGAATTCTGGGAGTTGAAGTCCAAGAGTCATAAAGGGAGCCATAGTTCCCCCATGTTGGCTCAGGAATTCTGGGAGTTGAAGTCCACGAGCCATAAAAGAGCCGAGGTGGCCTACCCCTGACCTAGAGCAAGGGTAGGGAACCATGGCCCTTTTATGACTTGTGGACTTCAATTCCCAGAATTCCTCAGCCAGCACGGCTGCCCCATTGACTTTGCTTGTCAGAAGGTCTCAACGGGGGGGGGGGGAATGCATGGCTGGCTCAGGAATTCTGGGAGTTGAAGTCCACAAGTCACAAAAGCGCCATGGTTCCCCACCCCTGACCCAGAGCAAGAGGTGGTCGACTATGGTCCCTTTACGACCTGTAGACTTCAGCTCCCAGAATCCCTGAGCCAGCATGGCTAGCTCAGGAATTCTGGGAGTTGAAGTCCACAGATCGTAAAAGGGGCCTTAGTTGCCCACGCCTGATCTACAGGGAGGAACTTTTTGAGTTTTACAACTTTCTCCAATGTGTGTGCAATGCACTTTTTGTACACCACTCCTTCTGGTGAGGAGACTTATGTCCTCACAAGTCACCAGGACTGTCGCATTGCAGTCCTAGTGACCGGGGAGACAGATTACAGCCTCTCACGTTGGGTCTATCCTCTTATCACAGTGAGCCAATTAATTTATATATATCCAACTGCCAGCTGCTGTGTTTTATCCATGGAAGCACAGATGCCTGCATCGATCTGGGGGCATCTCCTGTTCCCCCAAACAGCCCAAGGCTTCTTTCCGTTAAGCCACTAGATATCCTGAATCAACCCAGTTTGTCAACTGCAGTTGAACTCCTGTTTATATATTTATAGACATATATTTTAATTGCTGGCTGCTTTTTAGGTGGATTGATGAAAATATTGAGAGCTGGGGGGCAGAACGGCAAGAAATGAAATGTAGAAATGAAAAATAAGAAAGTTTTTACCCAAACCAATGGAATAAACCCACCCAGTAAAAGTTCAAAAGTGGACAGGGAGGTTGGTGGCCTTCTCCTTTTCTTGGAGAGCTGGGTTTTGTCTGCATCCTTTGGGCTTGTGGTTGGAAGAATACTAGGGAAGAAACTTCCCTGCTGTACTAAGTCCTGTCCTGGGTGTTAACAGGATAAGAGAAGCCTAACCTCGTTTCTGCTTCCTCTCACAGCCAAGAGACTTGAAGGCAAAGCCATTTTAAGTTCCTTTATAACATAGTCTTCCCATCCTGGGCTTAAATCCAATTTTGTCAGCCGGTCTGACGTTCCTCCACAGTCATCTCTGGGGTCCTCTATGGAGAGAAAAAGGGAATCACGAGATTGAACGTGGAGAACCTTAAATTGATAAAAAAATAAGGTGTCATCCATCAGCTTTGGCGTTATTAAGGGATGATCCGATTGTCCCAGAAAGAGACTTACGAGCTTAGATTCTGGATGAAGGATGCTCGTTTGGTTGGTGAGGTTAAGAGGTCCAGTGAGTAAGTGATGGAAGAGTTTTGTCACCTGCCTTGACACCTCCAGGGATCGTGTCATTTTAGAAGACAAGGATTCAGCAGTTGGCAAGAGGAGAACCTGGCTTATAGTTGGATTTAGCTCTTTGTAGGTTATGAGACATCGTAGAACATTGTCACCTGCATGAACTCTTGACTGACTTTTCTTTCTTTTTTAAAATAATATTTTATTAAGTTGTGCAGTAAAATAGAAACTGCAAAGCAAATAGTAGGACACAGTGGGGAGGAAAAAAGGGGGGAATGAGATTGACTTCCCCTATTGCAGTAGAATAGAGCAGAGGTCCTCAAAGCTGGCTGAGGAATTCTGGGAGTTGAAGTCCACAAGTCTTAAAGTTGCCAAGGTTGGAGACCCCTGGAATAGAGTATTAACGTCGAGCCTCAATTTAGTACTTTTTCACAGTAGTAAAAACTAGCCATTTCTGTAACAACAAATCAATCTAATCAGTGGAACCCAGAATCCAAGTTTCATTCTTTTCCACCTCAAGCACAAAGTCCAGAAGCGGTTTCCATGTAGAAACAAAGCTTCTTTAATCAAAACAGTCAATTTGGCCATCTCTGCCAGCTTCATCAACTTCCGTAGCCCTCCGTCCATGATGGGAATCGAAATGTCCTTCCATTTTTCTGCATACAGTAGTCCTGCTGCCGTCAAGATATATTGACTGATTTTTCAAGATGCATTCTAGATTTTGGAGAGTCTTTACGTTTGCAGAGCTGCTTCACGCGGTCTCTATCTAGCTTAGCTTTGGGACCTGTGGTTGGCTTCTAAGGAGGAACATCCTGTCTTGAAACTTCCATCATTTTCCTGTTCTTTTTGCACACGCTGCTGTGGTCCATGGATGTTCTCTCTCCAAATCGTGGCAAAGCCACAACCTTGAAAAGAGCTGGGTTGAGTGAAGCCCACTTAAGGTGGGGTGAACTAACGCGGGTCCATCCATCCATTCCTAAAGAGTTGGTTTATCTTCCAGTTAGATGCAGACTATAGTTAATGTTGCCTGTGGATCGTCCTTTTGGGTAGAAAAATTCAGAAGGATTCTGTGGTAGCACTTTTTCCAAATTAAATACGTATAAATATATATATATATTAAAAGGCATAAGCTTTAGTGAGCTCCCTTCATCAGATGCCTAATTCTGGATCAGGGCTTTTCCCATTTTTGTCACCAAGATACCGTAATAAGACTTAGGAGGAATTGAGCTTTGGAATTTCTACATGTATGACACATCCTTTTTTTTTAACTTGAGATCCATGCGCTCCGCCATCAGCAGTGCTCCAGAGAGGGACACCTCCAGTCTTCCTTGTAGAGGAGATGGCTTCCTTGCACCTCAACTGGTGGGGCAGGAATTTTTTCTTCTTTCTCCAAATTGCTGTAGAAGCTTCCAGCATCCTTGTGTTCAGAACCAGGAAGCCTACCAAATCCGTCTTTAAGAGAGGCCCACTGAGGTCATAAATCCAGCCCTGTTTGATCCAGGAATCCAAACCGAAGCATCCCAGATAATGGAATAACTATCCATCTTCACCAAAGTTCAGCCACCACTTCTCTTCCGTTGCTTTTCCTGGTGGGACATTTTTCTTCACCTTCCCCTAGAATATGAACAAGTTAAACCCTACAGATTTTATTTAGAGCTTTAGGCCACTGTTAAAATCTCCCAAGAACAGTCCTTAGCCCTTCATCCATCTTTGATGTGCCTCAGCTGCTACTTTGGCCTGGTTCTGCTGCCTGTTGTTCTCCAGCAAATGGAGGAATGTAGACTCCACGGACGAGTGGATTCTACATTCCTCTTTGCTGAGAAAAGGCGTTCAGGTAAGACAACGCCCCATCAAAGGGAGGGGGGAAAATATCTGAAAACTAGTTGTTGTTGTTGTTGTTGTTTTAAGAATATGGTTTCCCAGATGTCTTGCGAGGAAGTAAGCGGTGGTTTGG